TGGCCAGGTTGTGGAAGTCCGTGGACGGCTTGGTCACGCCGCCGTTGCTCGGGCTGTGGCTGTCCTGGGCGCAGTGGTAGTGGGGGTGGGGCGGGGGGGGGGCTAGAAGCGGCCGGGGGCGCTTTTGCAAGGCATGGACAAAAGGACAGTTGTCCTGAATTCTCCGGACCAAGGGCGGAGGTTGACCACGGACTGATTTAAATGTGTAGTGTAAATGTGCCCAAAGAGTTGGAGGGAAGGACAGTGCAGAGCAGTGCGAGGAATGCACGCGCCTGCAGGCCTCGGTCTCTAGTGGGATGTGTGCATGCTCCCAGGCATGTAAAATACAAAGCGCCGTTATTATCGTAGAAAGGATGCAATGTCAGCAAAAGAGAAGGTGGTGAAATTTTCCAATCAATAGTTCTGGGTTGGCCTGAAGTCTTATCAGTCCTACCCTTAAAGGATAGGAGTTGCAAAGCTGTCTGATTTTAATAACGCTCCATCGCTCCATCAGACTTTCCAGTCTGGGCTAACTTAGGTGAATGGATGGCCAGAAGAAAACTGACCGGTCACTTTTTCTAAATTGCATTTTGGAGTACCCATAATTAGAGAACAGGTGGGCATCATCCATAGGCCATACACCAATCACAAGAGAGCCCGCTGTGTTTGTGCAACAAGTTAATCCTGGCTTGTTTGTGATTTATTTAATAAATTGCAATTGGCAGAAGTTAGCAACTCACTAAACCATGGTATACAAGCCACGATGGGTGGCTCACACCATACTGTAAGCTACAAACAAGTTTGGCTTATGGTGCCACAGACACATAATGGTCAGAATGCCTTGTCTAAGATGAGATTCCTGCTTTGTGCTAAGTCGAAATGTGGCCGGTTTGTGGTTTATTGTATGTTTACATGTTTATGTAAACTCAGCCATAGTAGTTTATGACGTTGCATGAATTCACTCAATTATGGCTTCAACAAACCATGATGTACCACAGAATGAACCTAGTCTATAGTTTCTTTTCTCAGATCTCTAATATGACGGGCAGACTGTATCTGTGGTTCTCTCACGCAGCCACACGTATTGGCTCTAAAAGAAAGATGCTTTGCGCTGAGTGGAAATCTTTCAAAGCCCCATTTAGGTGTCATTTTGGCCTCCCTAAAGTCATGGAATAGTTACAGAAATGGCTTTGTTCATTAGATGCTCTTCTCCAGTGGAATGGAAATTATAAG